AAAAAAAAAAAAAAAAAAGAAAAGAGATAGATGAAAAGAGAATATAACACCCGACTCCGTAATCGCCTGTGCAGACCAAACCCAGTTTCCCAACGTGAGACCCTAAAAGCCAAACAAACAAACAAATCAATAAAAATCAACAGCCGCTCATTTAACCTCGTTCAGGTCGGAAAATGGACTCTCGACCCGTGGGGGCGGAACGCGACTGCTGCGGTTTGACCGTGGCTCGTCGGTCTCCAAGAAGGCCGAAGTGCGCACGTGGGTGTCGTCGCGGGACGGCGGCGCGGGGTGGGCCTGGTCCTGGAACGGACCCTGGTGGGCGGCCGGGGAGTCCTCAATGACAGTGGACGTGCGGGACTGGGCGTCGCGCGGGGCGGCCGCGGGGGGCTGGTTGCGGATGGTGCGGGCATCATCCTCGTCCTCCTCGTCGGAGCTGGCGTCGAAGCCCGAGGTGGGGACGTCGGACGTCTTGCTCGCGACGGTGGCGTCGGGCGAGGGGGCGTCGCTGCCGCCTTTGTTGTGTTTCTTGGCCTTGACCATGACGGGCTTGGCGGTGACCGTGCGGGCGACGATCGAGCTGTTGCTGGTCGACTCGGGCACGCCCGCCCTGGCGAGCTGGGCGGGGGTGATGGCGGGGACGGCGGGGGCGTCGGGGGGCATGGGGGCGCCGTTGCCGCCGTGGATGCTGACGACGGCGGCGCGACTGCGCATGGCCTGCTGGGCGGGCATGGGGCTGACGATGGCGTTGTCGCGGTAGATGGTGGTGGCGACGCTGCTGCGCAGACTGGGGGCGATGCTGCGGTGCTGGCTGGAGGCGTCGGTCCAGGAGGAATCGCGCAGGTCGCCGGGCATGAAGAAGTGCTGGTCGGGGGAGGAGCCGGGCAGCGGGGGCACGGGCGGGACGAGCGAGCCGGGGGTCTCGGGCGGGGAACGGTTGGTGACGCCCGGGATGTAGGCGATCTGGATGACGTTGGAGGCGCGGGTGAGGACGGTGGAGGCGATGGACTGGGTCGACTTGCGCGCCTGGGCGTTTCGCTTCTCGCCCGATGCGCCCGGCTGGGCATACGCCTGGCGCTTCTTGCGGATGACGAACCACCAGACCAGGAAGGTGACGATGGCAACGCAGGCGAGACCACCGACGACCCCACCGGCGATGGCGCCGGCATTACTGCCTCCACCACCGCCGCCGTCATCGCCAGACGAGCCACCGGAGTCGGATCCGCCGCCGGAGGAGGTGGGGATACATTTTGTGGTGGGGCACGAGTCGCAGGACTGGCTGATCATGGTACAGGTGGTGCCCTCCTCACATTTGGGGCAGGGAGGCGAGGCGGACTCGCATTTGACGCAACGTTTGAAGATGGAACGGGTGGAGAGGACTGGATGGTCAGTTCAACAAGTCTCGGTAAGATGGGAGGGGGGATTGAACATACGGTGGGAAGAGAAAGACGGGTCCGTTTGATAGAGCGCCATGATGACGTGGAACGAGTGACAGGTGGATCGTTAGGAAAGAGGCTTTAAAAAAAAAGAGAAAAGAATGTCGAGCCGGTCAACGGCGTAAAGAGCGTGAGCTGAGGGGAGTGAAAAGCGAGTGGAATGCTCGTCGACGTCAAGTCGGAGCGGGTTGGCGGGGGATGGGAGGATCAAGCGAGAGAAGGGCGGGAGAGGGCGAGGGTCATAGTAAGTCGAACCCGGATGGGGGAGGGTGAGGAAGCAGGGACCGGCGAATGGATAGCGAATGGGTAGGAGGGACAAGTCAGCAGCGATGCATTGGGCATGCGGCTGTACGAGGGGAGGTCGGAAGCGACGCGTGTGGCTGTAGGATTCAGGGGAGAGGTTGAGATGGGCTAATAGGGACAGAAGCGAGGTAGGGTAGAAGTCGAAGTGAAGTAGACAGTGGAAAGGATGGAAGAGAAAGAAAGAAGGGAGAGAAAGAAGAGAGAATCAATGTAGAGATAGAAGGGGAGAGAGAACGAGAAGAGTAAGAGTAAGAAGAGAAGAGTGGAGAGAAGAGAGAGAGAGAGAGAGAGAGAGAGAAAGAGTGGAAAGAGAAAAGAGGAGAAAGAAACAAGACGGGAGAGAAGAGCGTTAGTGCCTGAGGGTGGTATGCCCACGCAGTCGGGTATTACCACGGATTAGTCCAGTACCTGAATTAGAGACTGGTTGAAAGAACCACGGTTCTTTCAGGGACACTCCTGACGAATCTCGAGGATTCCTGCATGCATGAACACAGAGAATGCAGATGGAGGATTGGATCCTATCCTTGCAGATGTGTCTCAGGAAGTGATACTAGAAGGCTGGATGAAGGAGTGAAAGTGCGTGTGCAGAACCGACCGAGATCCTCACGAACTAAGAGGGACGAAGGACTACTGAGAGTCCAGACCGATCCACGTTGGGACGGGAGATTAATCCCTCTTCTCTGCCAATGATCTTTTGTCTGTCGGATGGAGAAGGAATCAACGTTCGGTGGTTTGAATTATTCGGTCTTTTCTGACTAACGTGGGAAGATTCTCTAGTAAGTATGGAGTATACCTGGAGTTGGCAGAATCTTTATTTAGGGTAGATAGTTTAAGACATACTATATATCCATACAATCTAGACGCATGTGGTAGATCAGACAGTAGACCAATTCCGATCAGCAATGAAGTCATTCTTGACCTGTTCAGATCCCCATTGCATCAAGACTATCGCATGAATGGTAGCAGGCATGCAGTGGCTGCGATGCATGTATCTCCTACTCCTACTGAGTATCGTGCATGGACTGGATCGTGACCAAGCCACCTTCCGCATGGACGGGCTTTATTTATTATCTACTCCTTGACTTGTTTCTTTATTTATTTATTTATGTATTTATTATTATCTCTCCCGCATGATTATAATCCTTATATCCGCCAGAACCTGGTGTTGGACTTGTTGATATATCTCATTATATGTTTGATCCTATATTTTGACCTCTTTCTTTACTCGACTCCTGTCAGTGACACAGGTGCAGTGTCCGGGGCAAACCCGGAACGATTCTGGATTATCACTGCCTGGCTGGGCTGGAGGAATCCGATCCATGGTCGAGATGGAACGGTTTGATATCTGAGCACAAGACATGGTTCTCTTACTTCAATTAATTTATTTGATTCTACCTTATTGATCTTATCTGACTTGATCTCATTCCACTTATCTTATTGATTTGACTTGTTCTTATTCCCCGTAATATCAGGTATACAGCCACTTCTCTACCGATTCAACCAGCCACTGTATACTCCGTAAACCCATGGAACCCAAACAGTGGCGCAAATCGCCCGATCTAAGAATAGCCAAAACTAGCGGAGACGGTGCCAGTCTAGTACTCAGTAATCCGTACTAGTCCATCCTGTCCAATAAGTCTCCATCGCTAGGAATAAATCGGTTAGTGTCATCCAGGCCAGCCGTCTGAAACGACCGTCCACCATTCAGCTTACCTCCGTCTTCTCCTTTCCCTTGATTTCTTTTTTTTTTTGGTCCCTTTCTTATTTCCGGACTAGCGTGGCTGAGTGACCAACGGTTGATTAACACGGTGTCTTGACTCTGGACTCGGGGACTAGGGCATCCCACAGGGCTCTTTGATGTGGAGGGGGAGGATCCAATTAGTGGATGGAAGCGTGTCGGACCATCCCCGTGGCGTCTCTCCTTTCCCTTTTGACTTCGTATCTGTCAGATGAGCGTTTTCTCGGTGGAGGGGTGTATCACCAGTGTGGATGGTATGCTGTGAGGGATGGAATGTTACTTCCTCGAGGTATTAGAATCTTCAGCTTAAATACCTTATACTGATTGATCCAGTCAGTCCAGATGACCGTTCGATCCAGGTCGGTACTGGGTGCAGGTGGTAGAATAGGAGATACAGTACAATACAATACCACATACAGACATGAATAAAATACACCACTGTCTCAGCTTCAGCTGGTGCAGGAGCAAATCAATAAGGGTCCACCATCTCCACCGGGGCCCTGAATAATTAGACCCAGACCGCAAGATACTTTGGAACCGGGGTGCGTTCTCTTGACTTGACTTGGACTGTTTGATGTGACCGTTTGATATCAGTTTTTTCATACTGAGTAGTTGTATACCACTCCCTATTCTGTAGGTACCTGTACTTCTACTCCGTACACTCCTGCTAGATGGGATGAAGTCGAAAGGTGACAATACCGTACAACCCCTGAATCTTTCCATCTATACCTACCTGGATGAGTGTCTGTTGATAAGGATCCGGTGGATCTTTGGATATCAGAGTCATACAATAGCATATTTGTAGATTCATATACTTAGATTTTGTATTTGTGTATATTTATATATTTATGATGTTCGTGATATTCATGATTTCCTGATATTCTGTCCATCACTTCACTGAATGAATCCGAGATCCACCGCTACTGCGGCTCCCCTATGAAAGGCAGAATAAAAAACCACTAGATGGACGGTTGATCCATCTTGGATTCTTCGTGGTTTCTCTGTCGGTATCCTTGGTATTCTATAATATATATCTCGGTATTCGCAGTATTTACTGGCTAATTGGATTCTATCTATTCTAGTCGAATTTTACCCTTTGTATGGTGATTTTTATTGTTTTTATTATTATTTTTATTATTTTTTATGGGGTTTTCCTCTCATCGTCGCTGCTAAAACAACAGGTCCATCGTCCATCTGTCGCTTTTCCTCTTTCTATCTAGTCATTGTTTCTTCTTTCTTTCTTTCTTTCTTTTTCTTTTCCCTCCTGGGATCTCCCTCTGGCTTCATCTTCTTCCCATCTCTCCCCATCTGTCCGTCCTGTCAATCTTCACCTCCGTCCTGTACTCTCCGTACGGTTCGGCTCACTCGAGGACCTTCTTCAGCCCTGGTGGCCGCTTATTGTCCACGTTCCTGCGCCCCCCTCCTGGCTTGCTTCCCTGTTGATATCAATTCCCAGCCATCGGATTCTTGACTTCCTCCCCTTTCTCTGTGCGACAACGACCGGTTTTTTGCCCCGTCTCTCGCATTCTCGCGACCCCATTGTCCTTCCCTCCCGTCACCTCCTTACTCCCCCGCCTTTCTTGATACCCCTTTCCTCGTTTGCCTTCTTCTCGGCTGCCTCCCTCGTTCGCCTGACCTCTTCACTACACCACCCCTCCCCCCCTCTCACGGGTTTAATCACTTGAACCATCCGTGATCATGGCCTACCAAGGCTCTGGCGCTCACCCGCCTGGCTACGAAGACCATGATGGCATGCGCCTGCAGGATGTCCCGCAAGGTGCTACCGTAAGCGTTCCCCTCCGACCTCGCTCCCCATCCCCCGTCGCGTCCCAGACTGATCAGAACCCTCTCCCAACAGTACGAAGAAGAAGCCGCCAGGGGTCTGCTCGCTCACCAGCAAGCCGGATCGCCCTTCGAGGACCCTCATCAGCGGGGTCTCTCCCCCGGCGCCAGACCGACCTCGGGCTACAGTTTGACCGAGACCTACGCGCCTGACGCGTCGTTCCAGGACCCTTACAGCGCTGGTGGCTCCGTCTACTCCGGTCACTCGGGGGACAACCCTGCCGCCGCCTTTGGCGTCCCCGGCCGCGTCGCCTCGCCCTACGCCCGCAGCGAAACCTCCTCCACCGAGGCCTGGCGTCAGCGACAGGCCCCCGGTGGTCCCTCGGGCGGTGGTGGCGGCGGCGGCGGTCTGCGCCGTTATGCCACCAGAAAGGTCAAGCTCGTTCAGGGTTCCGTCCTCAGTGTCGATTACCCCGTCCCCAGTGCCATCCAGAACGCCATCCAAGCCAAGTATCGCAATGACTTGGAGGGTGGAAGCGAAGAATTCACCCACATGCGATGTGAGTTCCGTCTTGAACCCCTAGCTCTTCCCTCCCCCCCCCTACCCACCAAGTCTAACTATGACAGACACCGCCGCCACGTGTGATCCCAACGAATTCACCCTCCACAATGGTTACAACCTGCGCCCCGCCATGTACAACCGTCACACCGAGCTGCTCATTGCCATCACCTACTACAATGAGGACAAAACCCTCACCGCCCGCACGCTCCACGGTGCCATGCAGAATATCCGGGACATCGTCAACCTCAAGAAGTCCGAATTCTGGAACAAGGGTGGTCCCGCCTGGCAGAAGATCGTCGTCTGTCTCGTGTTCGACGGTATCGACCCGTGCGACAAGGACACCCTCGATCTCCTCGCCACGGTGGGTATCTACCAGGACGGAGTCATGAAGCGTGACGTCGACGGCAAGGAGACGGTGGCGCATATCGTACGTTGCCCCAATTCCCGTGCATGGCGCGCGGTGCTGACCAGACCAGTTCGAATATACCACCCAACTGTCCGTCACCCCGAACCAGCAGCTCATCCGTCCCACCGACGACGGACCCAGCACCCTCCCGCCGGTGCAGATGATGTTCTGCCTGAAACAGAAGAACAGCAAAAAGATCAACTCTCATCGCTGGCTGTTCAACGCCTTTGGCCGCATTTTGAACCCCGAAGTCTGTATTCTTCTCGATGCTGGTACCAAGCCTGGTCACAAGTCGCTGCTGGCCCTCTGGGAAGCCTTCTACAACGACAAGGACCTGGGCGGTGCCTGCGGTGAGATCCACGCGATGCTGGGTAAGGGGTGGAAGAACCTGATCAACCCGCTGGTGGCTGCGCAGAACTTCGAGTACAAGATCAGTAACATCCTCGACAAGCCCCTGGAGAGCTCGTTCGGTTATGTCAGCGTGTTGCCCGGTGCGTTCTCCGCCTATCGATTCCGTGCCATCATGGGTCGCCCGCTGGAGCAGTATTTCCACGGTGACCATACCCTCTCGAAGCAGCTGGGTAAGAAGGGTATCGAAGGGATGAACATCTTCAAGAAGAACATGTTCTTGGCCGAGGATCGTATCCTCTGTTTCGAGCTGGTCGCCAAAGCGGGCTCCAAGTGGCATCTGTCCTACGTCAAGGCCTCCAAGGGTGAAACGGATGTCCCCGAGGGTGCGCCCGAATTCATCTCCCAGCGTCGACGTTGGTTGAACGGTTCCTTCGCCGCCGGTATCTACTCGCTCATGCACTTTGGCCGCATGTACAAGAGTGGGCACAACATCATCCGCATGTTCTTTCTGCACATTCAAATGCTGTACAACGTGTTTACCACGCTGCTGACGTGGCTGTCCCTGGCGTCCTACTGGCTGACCACGACGGTCATCATGGACCTGGTCGGTACCCCCTCCGACAACAACGGACAAACCGGGTTCCCCTTCGGGAAGACCGCCACCCCCATCGTGAACACGATCGTCAAATACATCTACCTCGGGTTTGTGTTGCTGCAGTTCATCCTCGCGCTGGGTAACCGGCCCAAGGGATCCCGGTTCACGTACCTGGCCTCCTTTGTCGTTTTCGGTGTGATCCAGATTTACGTCGTGGTGGACGCCCTGTACCTGGTGGTGCGGGCCTTCAGCGGCGGCGCCGAGATGGACTTTGTGACCGACAAGGGCCTGACGGAATTCCTGAAATCCTTCTTCGGGTCGAGTGGTGCGGGTATCATCATCATCGCCCTGGCCGCTACCTTTGGCCTGTACTTTGTCGCCTCGTTCATGTACATGGACCCGTGGCACATGTTCACCTCGTTCCCGCAGTACATGGCGGTGCAGTCGTCCTACATCAACATCCTCAACGTCTACGCGTTCAGCAACTGGCACGATGTGTCGTGGGGTACCAAGGGTTCGGACAAGGCGGATGCTCTGCCGTCCGCTAAGACGACCAAAGACGATGGGAAAGAAGCGGTGATCGAGGAAATCGACAAGCCGCAGGCGGATATCGACAGCCAGTTCGAAGCGACGGTGAAGCGGGCGCTGACTCCGTATGTGCCTCCGGTGGAGCACGAGGAGAAGAGCTTGGATGATTCGTACAAGAGTTTCCGAACCCGCTTGGTGACGCTGTGGATTTTCAGCAATGGCTTGCTTGCCGTGTGCATTACCAACGAGAGCGTGAACAAGTTTGGTTTTACGGTAGGTTCCTCTCTTCCCCGTTCTTTCTCTCTGGTTTTAATACTGATGACATGTAGAACTCCGCCACGGACCGAACCTCGAAATTCTTCCAAGCGCTGCTGTGGTCGAACGCGGTGTGCGCGCTATTCCGATTCATCGGCGCGTGCTGGTTCCTGGGCAGGACGGGACTGATGTGCTGCTTCGCGCGACGGTAAAACCAGACCGTCAACCGGTCACCCCAGTCGGGGCTTATGAAAAGGTGTGATGGTCAAGGGACCGGACGCGGAGTTATTCTTGGCACATTTTTTGACACCATCTTGTATCCTACATACGCAGTTGTTTTCCTACTACTAGTTTGGGTTGGACTATGCGGAAGGGGGAGGGAGGGTGATATTCAGTTGAGCGATTAGATCAATGCATGTTATAATAATCATAGACTATTGTATTTGTCTGACCTAAGGCTGTAAATGAGGTAAGAGTGTAATAGGTGAATAGACGAAATGAAAGATAGAAATCCGACTGACTAAATGCGGCTCTCAAAGGCGGTCGGTCATCCACCATATGGCGTCAGGTCACTGTCAGTAGTCAGTCAGGTTAGGTCCGTCACGTTAGGCTCTCCGCCTCCACCCCATACCTACTCATCCATATTCAACCTCTCACTTTTCTTGTTAAAACCACAAACCAGCACAGTCGGTCTTTTCCTTTGTGGGTACGTACATACAACAGAATACCAGGTGAGTTTCTATTCTATATTTCCTATTTGTTTGTTGGGGTTTGGTACATGGTGGATTGTGTGGAATCTACCCCACCCCGCATCGCAGTCAGGTTGGATGTCATGGGTTGGTTTGGTGATGCTGATTTGGGTAGAGTGATTTCTTTCAACGATTGATTGACTCGACTGGCTTGATTGGATCTGACTACCTACCTCGACTGAGACACGGACACGAACACGAGCACGAACGAACGAACGACGGTTGACGAACGGACTCGAACAGATACCTACCTCCATACATACCTACCTACCTACCACCTGGATACACACGGCAAAGCATACTCCATCATTGGGTTAATCCATTCGGTTTCTTGATATAAGAGGAGAGAGAAGAGATAGTGTCAAGATGTTAAAGATTTGGTCTATGGTATGCCCATATTCAACCGCCACAGTCTTCATTCAGTACTCCTGCAGAAGGTCTACTACACATAAGTTATGCATACTGACAGTCCAGTAGAAACAAAAACAACAGCAGGCTGAAAATGCCGAAGGCGCTGACGGCAAGAAGAAGAAGAAGGTTACTGCGGCGCAGTTGAGGGTGCAGCGGGGTATTTCTCTTTCCTTCCCCCCCTCTCTGTCTTTCCATTATGGAAAAACAAGAACCAAAGCTAACAGTGCGGATTATGATAGATCTGCAAGAACTCACCCTAGGCAGCACCATGAAAATGACCTTCCCCAACCCAGACGACATCCTCAACTTCACGCTCACCATCGAACCCGACGAGGGCATGTACAAGGGCGGGGCCTTTGCCTTTTCGTTCACTGTCAACCAGAACTTCCCGCATGATCCGCCCAAGGTCAAGTGCACGCAGAAGATCTATCATCCGAATATCGACATGGAGGGGAATGTGTGTTTGAATATTTTGAGGGAAGATTGGAAGCCGGTGTTGAATTTGAATGCTGTTATTGTTGGGATGCAGGTATTTCCCCCTTTCCCTTCCCCTTGCTATTTTTCAATGTAGCGTATGCTACGATAAAAACACAGCAAAGATACTGACATTATAGTTCCTCTTCCTCGAACCCAACGCATCCGACCCCCTCAACAAAGAAGCAGCCGACGATCTACGCACAAACAGAGAGGCATTCAAGCGGAATGTGCGGACATCTATGGCGGGGGGAACGGTGCGAGGGGTGCAATTTGACAAGGTTCTACGATAGTCTTTCATATTGATTGATCGATTGATTGATTTCATGGGGTAGTATTGCATGCCGTGCTTATTTTATTAGGATTATCATTAGCGACTGGATAGATTATTCCCTGCTGGCTTACTTTCTTTGGCCTTGCTTACATCCTACTGGTATGAAAGTCTACAGTATTAAAGTAGACAAACGAAATTGCGACAGCAGTCAAGTACAGTACATATGTACAATACACAGAACCCTTCATTGACCGTAACTACCACTGCTAACTAGCTAGATAGTAGTCACCCAGTAGTAGTCCAATCCAATCCATATCTATCCACCATATCGCACAACCCAGTCGACAAAGAAATGTATGGCTCAGTTGATGGAGATTGTTTAAGCCTTGGCAGCCTCAAGACGCTGGGCCTCCAGGGCGTTGTAGAAGTTGTCACGGGCGCGGACGCGGGGCAGGTGGTAGCCTATTTTGTTTATTGATTAGACTTGCGAATATAATGGTTTATTGTATGTGGTTGATTTGGAGAGCAAGAAAGGGAAGAGAGAAGGTGGGAATCGTCAATTGAATGAGAGTAGATATACGTACCGTACCACCAGAGGTAGCCGAAGGTGGTTCCGAAGCCTGTGAGATGGTCAGATTGGTTGCTTTTCTTCTCCTCCTTCTTGTCTTTCGTTCTTCTGCTTCTTGTTTTGTCTCCATTGAGTGGGTGAGGTCGAGGAGGTAGGTGTGCAGGTAAGTAGTAGGAGGTGTCATCGCATCGATCCTCCGATTCCTCCTCTCCAGTTCCTCAACCACACCCTCCGCCACAAACCGCATAAAATAGCACAAAGGACCTACCGAAAGCAGTGCTCAGATCGAGCACAAGATTCCGGCGCAGCATCTGTAGTAATCGTCAGCATTGGGCCTTCATTTTTCCCGTTCCCTTTTTTCTCCCCTCATTTTCTTCCTCCGTCCTTTTTCCTCCCCTCACTTCGCAAGATGAGACAATGGGTGGATGAATGGGTGGAACATACACCGGTGATAGGAGCAATAGCGGCCATTTTGATTGAATCAATTCAATTGAATTGCAAAGCGACGGCGACGGGGGTGAGCGAGAGGTGGTGAGAGAAGGGCGGTGATGTCGGATCGGGATGGATGAGGTCGGGTGAGGTCCAGCTTTCACGTAAGCGACTTTGGAGTGGCCTGACTGGTTGATCGGCGTGGGTGTGTCCGTCGCTGCGAACAGCGGGTTATTCCGGCTTCACTTTTCTAGGTGTCTTGCTGGTTGGGATCTACGTATTTACTGGGTCAATCTACAGATTAAGATACTTGTCTTTCTATCTATCTGAGTAGTGAGTCTCAACTGCAACAGCATAGATAAGGGAGGTGTATCGAGTTCGTATCACGTGACTAACGAGGTAGTCCTGCTTATACAAGAATTTATGCATGTATTATGTAATATACTGGATCTAAGATTCATTCATGGTATAACTTTTGATACTCTTTCTCTCACTTAACACTGGTCTGGACTAGAATTGCAGATCACGTCCATGTACATATGAAGCTGAACCTGTCGTTACAATCTCAATCAAGGGCTTCACCCCATACCCACCAATGCTATGATTTCTCAACCATGACACAGACCACTCATACCCCTCGCAGCATGCGCTCCGAGATCATCCAACGACACCATCCCCATCATCTCCAACATACTTTTTCCCATGTAAAAAAAAAAAAAAAACCATGTGCTCGGAGCCGAAACGTCGTTGCTCTCATCAAGGAAGTACCCAAATTCCGTTTCCACTGTGCCCGGCTTACGTCTGTCGGAGTAGTGGGCGGAAACATCACACCTGGACTTTGGGATGGAGCCACGGGCATCGTTCTTAGAGTATTAAGTCCCATAGCTCTTGTGGTGAGTGCCGGCCTCCCGGAAGATGGACCAACATGTCACATATGGCGACCGGGACTTGCGCAGCTGGTTTTGCGATATCGTCGCCATTCACCGCAGTCGTATCTTGACTGGATCTAACCGGGGGTCCGTTGGGGGTGGCATCGTTGGATGCCTGCATACAAACACTGTCTGTACATGGAGTAGATTGCGCCATTGTTTCGAGGGGTGTTGTAGGAATATCATGGTATTCCAAGGGTTTGATCAGGCTGATACCGCTGTACCCATGGTCAGAGGTTGTGCTTATATCTATAGGTTCTGTCTGGCATTGCGTATTACAGTCAACAGCTGACTGCAAAATGGTATCACTGTTCTCCACCCCGTTCTACATTTCTTAATCCCCTACGGCTCACCGCATCAGCATGTATATCCGCAAGGATATCAGCGGAAAGATCACGAATATCTGATATCTTGGTTCTGAATTCTTGGTTCTTGTTTCTTCCTGGTCTTCATACCACTATCTCCTGTTCTGCATACCACTATCCCCTCTTACTACACCAGACAATGTTATAGGGCTATAACCGAAGCTTCCACCAGTATCTGATACCTGGTTCTCTCTGTCTCTCTATGTTTTTGTTTTCATAGATCTGGCCTCGTGCTCCGCCAGACCTTAAGAATTCATAGAATAACGGACCAAACTGAGCCTTGCTTTGACTTTGATTCTTACTCTTTGATACGCCTGCTGCAAGTTGTGTTGGTTCCGTGGTGCTAATGTACTCCGGGCCAAAAGCAGTCAATAACATCTGATCTACTGTCTGAATTTCCCTGTCAGCTTGAATCGACACGAGGCCTGGATTGCACATCTAGATATAGAATCAGTGATAGCTGTGGGCCTTCCAGGACTCCCACTCTATAGTGCAAAGGATACCTTAGACTTCCAGTACACAGAAGATGCCGAATCAAGATCATTCATGATATATGGTCAGATCTCCAATCCAGCCCAAGCATATACACTACCGCTTTGTAGGACTGGTAGATCGGGTATAGATACAACGCAATAACCATTCTAGACGCCATATTCAAATGACGGATGTCCTAGGATGTAATCAGCAAGGGGTTGACTCTGAAGAACAGCGGCGTAAATTAAAATAAAATAAACGCACCAATTGGTAGGGGTATGATGATCCCACTGGCTGAGGCCTGCTGTGGATGCGGTGGACATGCAGGTAGAGAACGTATTGCGGAGAACAACATAGTCGCCTGGCATGTCCTGCTATGCTCAAGACCTCAAAAGAAAAGCCTGAAGAGTTTCCGTATTTTCTGCAATGATAGGAACAAGATGACATAGAATCCTAGAAATAGAGAGCATAACTTCAATCATTGAGACGTTGACTGACAGTTGCCTCAGGCATACAGCACGTGACCGACCGCCCATGTTTGTTCTCCGTCATCCCAACATCTTCGTCTCCTCAAGCAACATCATGGTTTCCTCGGAACAGCCACCGTCGTCGCTCAAGCGATCCTCTCCGCTGCTGGATCAGCCCGATTTCACAGATACTAAGCGACACAAACGACCCTACCATCACCATCACAGCTTGCACACCCCCGTCGTCCAGACCCTACCCGAACCCGCCATCACCGACGATGCCACCGTCGACCATCTGATGGACCGGTCCATTGGGCTGTATCTCCGAGAATGTGGCTTTGACATAGCGGATCCAGCGGCGCTGGATAGTTTTCGCAACGCCACGGGAGAATGTACACGCGATCTCAGCTTCCTCACGGGCCCTGACTCTGTTTACTGACTTTACCGTTTAGACATCCTCCGGTTCGCCTCATTCATCCGTCAGGCCATGCTCGTCAGTCGACGCACACAACCCATCCCGCAAGACTTCGAGCACGCTCTGCTCCGACACCGTCTCCGCCTCGACGATCTCATCCCTCACCTCAAATCCCCCTCGTCCATCGATCCCATCCCGACCCTCCCGCTCACCCCCCCGCCCGTTGACACCCCCTTCAAGACCCTCCCGTCCCTGGGTCCCCAGCTCAGCGGCGAGACCGACCGCGCTCATAGAGCCTACATTCCCACGCACTTCCCCGAGTTCCCGAGTAAGCACACATACCGCCACACGGCGGTCTTCACCGAGCGCGAGCAGGACCCGCAGCGGATCCGCGAGCGCGCTACCGAGGACGGCCGCCACGGCGAGGAGGCGCTGCGCAAGCTGGCTCGCGCCGCCTTCACGGACACGCAGGCTGGGACATCCTCGCGCGACAAGAAACCGTGGGGCCGTCGCACCGAGACGATGGACAGCATGTTCGAGAAGACCGTCAGGAGCCTGGCCAAGAAGATGCAGAATGCGCCGCCCACCGCGCCCATGGAGATCGAGTTCGGCGCCGCGGCCGACCCCGAGGTCAAGCCCGGGAGGAACAAGCTGGCGCTGAATATTGACCTGCCGCCGATTATCAACTGCGAGCGCGACTTCTGGCGCCGGTCGGGAGGCACTCGGCGGGAGTCGAAGCCTGCCCCGAAGGAGACGGCTCCTGAGATGTCGCGGGTGGAGGGCTGGATTGCTGGATAAGGGAGCATGCATGGTGGGTGGGATGGCGTTGGCGTTGGTTTATCTGGGCTTGTATTATAACGTTGAGATACGGAGATACCCATTGGAGTAGAATTAATATGCATTCATGATTCCCTATATTAGAATTGACATTCCGTATCCTATATTACAATTGACCCCGTAACGCCGACTTCATGCTTTGACCTGTATAGTAGCCTGTCCAACTCTAATTCCCCTCTGAAGTCGATGCCAGTACCCGCTGTTTTGCCTCCTTCTCCTCCGCAACCCGTATAGGCTCCCACGCTGTCGTCTCAACCGTCAAACCACCGGCACACCTATTGCAGCCAGTCAGCACTTATCCACCCAAAATAACCCACACCGATGGTACATACCGCCGAAACAATCGCACAACAGGCTTGCACACCACAACGCCAGGCTTCGGAACCCCCTCCTGCGGCGGGTTACACGAGTACTGGGTCATTTCGAAGAGAGGACATTGCATAAGGTCGACGGGCCCGCCTTTGCGACGCTTTTCTTGGAAGTTGCGCTGGACGGTGTTGACGTGGTCTGGGAGGGAGGACGCCGAGAAGATGGGGACTAGGGGGGCCATTTCACTTTTCTGCCTCTTTCTGTGTTAATTAAATTTGTATTTCGCTTGTTTGGTGGTGGGGTTGTTGGAGTGGAATGGGTGTGGTGGTGGTGATGGTGGTGGAGAAGAAGATCGGAGGTCGGAGTGGGCGGAGCGGAGTTTGTTATCGTTTATCTCCGCGTTTCTTTACCTCTCTCCATCATATGTCTGTTGGCAGACATTGTTTACCTTTCGTATAAACAAAGTCTCCACATCCATGAATCCTCAATATGGCTGCCAGTTTCGGGGAGAACTTGCTAAAGGAGATTCACGAGGAAGGGCTGGATGAGGTAGGCTGCTTATCCCACTAATGACTATGCTCTACTGACAGACGGACAGATCTTCTGCGGCCTGCGAAGTCTGCTGGGGCCATCCCCACGATTAGGAGCAGATGCGCTGGATAACCTGGTCGGGGTCTTTACGCCTGTCGGTCCTGTCCCCGTCGTGGAAAGGACACTTCCTGTTAGCCAGGATGAACAGGAGGACGTACAGGCGGAGGTCCTGTCCAAGAAGCGCTATGATCCCGTCGTGGAAATCTCCAGCGTCTCGTCTGCGGCAGGGAAATCTCAGCTCCTGTACTATCTGACGGCGATGGCAGTCCTCCCATCGACGTTCAATGGCATACGTCTAGATGGATGCACAGCTGCCGTCGTCTACATCGACACGGACGGCCGGTTTGACGCGGAACGGCTGCGAAGCATCGCTAGGGGTATAGTTGAACAGAAAACCAGACAGCCAGACTATGCAACGAACCCCCCTAATCACACCGGCATGGAAACCATGCTCGCAACCGCCCTGCAGCACGTCCATGTCTTCCGGCCCCAGTCATCCTGCTCGCTCCTCGCTACCCTGCGCACACTAGACACCTACCTGCTGGACCTCCCACGACACCACTCCGCTCCCCGACCCCTCCACGCAATCTTCCTCGACAGCGCGAGCGCCTTCTTCTGGCCGGACCGGCTGCGCGACGAGATCGCACGCATAGAGGACATCGGCCGGCCGTACGCGGAGATCGAGCGCGAGCGGCGCCTGCAGCTGAGCTTCCATATCGCCGATCTCTACGCTGCACTCGTTGCTGAGCTGAGGCGTCTGCAGCGACGGTTTGGCTGTACGGTCGTGTACACCACTACGGTACATACTACGGGGCGACCGTCTGCGTCAATTCCAGCGTCCGGCCCGTTCGACCTCTACAACCCGGTAGAAGAACGGAGCCGTAGTCGCGTCCACGCACCGTCGCTGCGGCCCCTGCTTCCAGGATGGGGTGCGTTCCCGACACTGCGACTGGTCGTTGGTCGGGAGGCCGTCCGGGCGTTTCCATCGGGGACGACAGTGCACGGGGCGCGTCGGGTCGCAGACGCACGACAGGACGCGGTCCGACGGGGTCAGTTCCGGGCGAGGGTTAACGCATGGGGAGAGGAGGAGTGGCCGCAGCGGTTGGTGGAGCAGATCCAGCAGAAAGGGGGATTTCCCTTCACGATCACCGAGGGAGTAGTCATGATATAATGTCTAGCGCTCAACTACTACCGGTCAAGAGAACAGCTTTCCAATCGCCTCTACCGTCGTGTTCCCCCCGCTGAAAACAACGCCCACATCCCACCCCGCGCTTCCCGCCTCCTTCTCCACCATCGCGCGGAACTCCTCATTATACAGACAAACCGCGAGTCCAACTACCGCACTCGGCTCCACGACGACCTTCATCCGCTCCAGAACGAGCCTCATCGCCGCCTTGATCTGATCTTCGGTCACAGCATACACACCCGCCACCTTCCGGGGATCCGACAACACCTCCCAGTTCAGCACACCCACCGGCGTCCTCAACCCATCCGCAATCGTCAACGACTTTACACTCTCCACCCTCTCCCTCCCCTCACTCGCCAACCCCCTCCGACAATCATCCGCGCCCTCAAAACTCGGCTCCGCCCCAACCACCCTCGTCCGCTTCCCGGAGAAATAACTCGCAACCCCCGCATTCAGTCCGCCCCCACCAACAGGCGTAATCACCGCGTCAAGCTCTTTCCCCTCATCACCAACAAGCGCCTTATACTGCGCCTCCAGCTCCAACCCCGTCGTGCCCTGTCCGCAGATGACGTTGAAATCGTCATAAGGCGGGACCAGGATCGCCCCTGTTCGAGCTTGCACCTCCCGCACGACGGCCTCTCGCTCCGGCGCTGTTGATCCGCTGAAGACGATCTCTGCGCCTTGCGAGCGCGTCCCTTCGATTTTTGACACTGTGCTGATGCGCGGCATCACGATGTAGGCCGGGATGTGGAGCGTTGATGCCGCGAGGGCGAGGGCTTGTGCGTGGTTGCCTTTACCGCATTAACCTCATATCCAAATGTATCCACATCCATGTATATATTAACCAACACGAAAGAAAGAAATAAGGAAAACTCACCAGAAGAATGCGTAACAACCCCACACGCCCTAACCTTCTCCCCCCCAACTCTCTCTAGCAACCTCAACAGCGCATGGAACGCGCCCCTCGCCTTGAACGCCCCAATACGCTGATAATTCTCGCATTTGAAGTAGAAGCGCAGTGTGGGGTTCGCTGCGTTTGCGATGTCCGGTTGTGGTGTCGAGGCGAGGGTGTTGAGCGTTTTGCTGGTTAGGAGGGGCGTTTTGTGGATGTGGGGTTTTATGAGGGCGTGTGCGGAGTGAATTGCTGCGGGGGTGAGGTTTTTGGCTTGTTCGGAGGGGGTGGTCATTTTGATTTGATCTTTTCTTGAGTTCTTTTGTGTGGATTGGATTGGATTGGATTTGGTTGATGTAAGGGTTGTATATGTTGTATCTTGTCTTCTTGATGTGGATTGGGTTGGGGTGGTGGTGGGGGATGGTGGGGAGGGATTGATGGGGATGGGGAGGACTGGAGAGTTGAGCTAGTCTGGCTAGTGTTGATTATGCATGGTTTAGTGACTCATGAGCTAGTGGATTTGACCTATAGTGTTGCTGCTCTACTGTATCGTTTGAATTGTGTTGTTGCCTTTGTATAGTCCAGCTAATAACTTTTGCTACGATCAAGGTAGATGAATTGAAGTGAAATAAATTGATTAATAAACTTGATATCATAATACATAACTTTTCATTTATTTCTGGTTCTCGGGACGCAGCGAGCGCACGGCCTTACCGGCACGCCAGATCTCGAGATCACGGATGTCCTGCATCTCCTTCTCGTACTTCTCGCGGTAGTCCTTCTGGGAGTTGTAGTCGAGCGAGCGCTGGGTCTCGGTACCGTCACGGACGCTGTCGTACAGCTCGTTGAAGAGGGGCTTCAGGTTCTCGCGGAAGCGCGACGACCAGTCGATGGCGCCGCGGCGGGCGGTGGTGGAGCAGGCGGCGTACATCCAGTCCATGCCGTTGGCGCCGATGAGCGGGTACAGGGACTGGGTGGCCTCCTCGACGGTCTCGTTGAAGGCCTCGGAGGGGGAGTGGCCGCGCTCGCGGAGAACCTCGTACTGGGCGAGGAACATGCCGTGGATGCCGCCCATCAGGCAGCCGCGCTCTCCGTACAGGTCGGAGTAGACCTCCTTCTCGAAGGTGGTCTCGTACAGGTAGCCGGAGCCGACGGCGACGCCCATGGCGATGGCGCGCTCCTTGGCCTGGCCGGTGACGTCCTGGTAGACGGCGATGGAGGAGTTGATGCCGCGGCCCTCACGGAAGAGGGAGCGGACGGTGCGGCCGGAGCCCTTGGGGGCGACGAGGATGACGTCGACGTCGGTGGGGACGTCGACCTTGGTGAGGTCCTTGAAGACGGGCGAGAAGCCGTGGGAGAAGTAAAGGGTCTTGCCCTTGGTGATGAGGGGCTTCAGGGTGGGCCAGGTCTCACTCTGGGCGGCGTCGGAGAGCAGGTTCATGACAATGGTACCCTTCTGGACGGCCTCGGTGACGTCGAAGAGGTTGCGGCCGGGGACCCAGCCGTCCTGGATGGCCTCCTTCCACGAGGCACCATCCTTGCGGACACCGACGATGACGTTCAGACCCTGGTCGCGCAGGTTGAGACCCTGGCCGTGACCCTGGGAGCCGTAGCCAATCAGGGCGAGGGTGTCGTTCTTGAAGTATTCCTGCAGCTTCTCACGGGGCCAATCGGCACGCTCGTAGACGACCTCCTTGGAATCGGCAAAGGTCATGGTCTTCAGGCCACGGATGGGAGTGACGGGGGTGGCCGTCACACGGGGGATGGCATTGGCGGCGGCCTTGGCCAGAGCCGGACGGGGAAGGGCGGCGGTGACGACGGAGCGAGGAGCGGCGACACGGGCCACACGGAGGGCACGGGGAAGACCACGAGAAGCCATTGTGATGGAGGATTGTAGGAGAGGGGAGAGGAGAGGAGAGAGATGGATGGATAGATGGGGAGAAATGGAAAGAGAAAGAGAGAAGAAAGAAGGGAGAATGACGCCTTTATAGCGAGCGAATCCCGAAAAAAAAGGCGGGAAAATGGAGAGGATCAGGTGACCGGAGTTGGACTCAGGCTCCCCGGCCGATGTCGGTGCACGTGATAGCCGGATTGGGGCTAGCGTAGTACCGCACTTATGCCAGCTCCATGCAGATGACTCATCGCTGCATCAGCCCTGCCTCAGGCTCCCCGGTCGATGGTCACGTTTCCACCGCCAAAACACGCGATCGTCACGATCCATCCTGCTTCTGCTTCTAGTCCTGGTGTCGCGATGGACTGGCGGGGATCCTGCGCCACAATCCAATCAGAATGGGTGATCCAGCTGGTGCAGATCTGGACTCTCTGTTGAATCGAACCGATTAGACCAGTCAATTCTGCATCTTTCTCTCTCGTTCCCACTCCTCATCCTCGCTCTTCTCCTTAGCTTTCTCTACCATCAGTCTCTCTCCACCCGACGGTCGATAATCGTCCTATATAT